TATGGTTGGAAAAAAATAAAAGAAGCTGCCATCCTAGAAGATAGAGTCTGTTACTGGAGCCATCCTTGGAAAGTAGGCAAGGCAAGCACATGATCCTCTGTTCTTGAAAGAGTAAGTAATCTGCCAGCTCCCTGCCAGTTACCAATTAAGCAGAGATTCAGACTCCAGAAGAGCTATGTGGATGATGTTGCTGAAATAGAAGATGTACTTCCAACGGAGTTAAGAGGAACTGGAAGTACTGTCTGGTTATTCACCAGCGTTACAGAACAGCTGTGTAACACGTACCATGTGTCCTATGTACCTGTTAATAGAACTGGGTGGCTTGTTTGAGCTGGTTTTGGCTTGAGGTCAGTTCAAATGTACAGTATGGATAAAAGCTCTTATTTTGCTGAGATCTGAGATCCCCCCTTTTTTTTTCTTTTTCCTTTCTCCAGTCTGTGATAACATGGAGAGGTACAACTCAGCTACTCCTTTCCTCTGCATGGATCTCGCATACATCACTGCTTTGCTAAAGGAAGGATTTGGATTTAGGGACAACACACTCTTACAGGTGAGAAAACTGTTAAATCCCAAAGCCAGCTTTTTAGTCTCTGTATCAATCAACATGCATTAGCTGATTTGTCTGGCTAATTATCCAGTGAGTCTTTCCAGGGTTGCTGTATGTAGTTGCTGTCATCTGTGCAACATACTAGTCTAGAGAACTGTCAGGAACAACTTCTTTTTCTTCCTTTGTAGTTAACAAAGAAAGTGAACAACATAGAGACAAGCTGGACTTTGGGAGCTACCTTTCACCTACTGCAGTCGCTAGGAATCACTTACTGAGCTGTGACATTCCTGTGGACTACAGCATTTCTGAAAGGCTGAGAAAGCAATTGAAACCTCCAGGTACATTGTTCAGCTGGAGCTGGTCACAGAGCAGAACATGGACCAAAGCTATAGAACAGATCTTCAGGCCAGACTGACATCATGCATAATGAGAGTTGCTACAGTATGATTTATAATTGTGATTGCCATAAGTGATCCAGAATCTACCTTCTGAAAGCCAAGAGGCCTAAACTCCAGCAAAGTATGGCAAGGGGCTCAAAGACAGCTTTCACCAGCACCTTTGTATAGCCTCCCATTGCTAGAAGCACAGAGTACCTGGCATGTGGTGGCAGACCACAGACACGTGGCTTCCCATTCCCCTTTTATTTTAAACATACATAACTTAAGTTTGCTTGTGAGATTTTAAATACAGAAATTACAGGTGGCATCAGCAGTCATTCAGAGAACAGTGAGCAACTCTGGATGCTGCCAGCCTCCCCATTCCAAGTACCCAGCTGTTAGCTTAGATAATATGTTGCAAGAAGACTCCAGTCTTTCAAGAAGGGGTCTGCTGTAAGTGCACTTTGGGCATCATTTTGGGAAAGGTGTGGGCTAAAGCACAGGTTGTAACTTACTGTGCATTTATTTGGACAGCAGTCATTTCCTGAGCAGAATGTGAGCCCAGTCCCTTTTTGCTGCCTTTTTCAAGCCTGTGCAGCTGTACTGTGCATGTGGCTACCAGACCTGATAATTCATTTAGCGCGTAGTCATAACATAGAGTTGTGCTGGTACAACCAGGCAGCAGTGCCAGCTATTTAAATTCCACTGCCAAAAGAAATATTTGTCACATTACACCCACAAGGAAATGAAGGGTGCAGTCAGATGAAAGGGCTGATCTGATAGCTCACTTTGCAGTGAGAGGCAGTTCTACTTCTCTGCTCTCAGCAAGGTACTCCCACAGCTTTCCTTCCTCTGATGCTGGTGCTCCTCTGGTTCCTTGAGGATTGGATTCCCAACACCAAACATGAGTTAAATCAGATCACTAAAGGGTCACGTCTGGGGCTAGCACACTGGAAAGAGGCATTGCAAAGCCTGGAGAGACCTGCTGGGCCAGCAAGCTGTTAGAACACTACAGCTCACTTTGTCGGAGTGAGCTCTAAGGTGTGGTTTCCAATCTGAAAGTTTGGGCTTATCACTTCCTGTGCTGTCCTTAGAAACCTGCTCTGAATGCAGAGATGTGGGGAAACAAGTTGTTTATGCAGTTGTTTGATAGACCAATATAGGAAGAGAGCAGAATTAGCATCAGGAACAGAGGCAGAACAAGAGCAGAAGTAACTTTACTTTCTTATCCCTTGTCCATTTTAAATTGGTTTAAACTTCATTTCTACTGAGTTTAATATAGCATAGTTGGACCCATGAAATTGTGTATGCAGCCCTGCGTTGCTCTGGAGTTATTTTTAATGTATACAGCAGGTCTTCAGGAACAGTGCATCCAGTGAAGGGGTTGCAGCTGTTGAGGAAGCCCAAGACTTCTGTCAGGACAGCATGCAGCTATTTGAGTAACAATTTTAAGTGAACCTTGCCATCTCCTTCACACCAAACACATAGAAGCAATGAAAGATTAAGTGTCTCATCCTATAGGCTAGAAAGGTGGGCTTGTAGGATCCTGGGTTTCTTGTTTCATCGGCTGTAGAGAACATCAAGATTGCTCAGATACCTTGAGGTTCCAAGTGCAGACCTTGCATTGTCCTAAGTACAAATGGCTATAGATAATTTTTTCCACCCCATGAAATAGTTGGCAGCTGGCTCATCAAAAATTAGAATCTTTTACTCACCATGGAATGTGTAAGGTAAAGATTCATTTCCCCCAGTCATAAGAATAGAGAGGTATTACTCATGTGGGAAGCCTTTATCCACTGATCTCTTGTGATGAACACTTCCCAGTCAGGTATTTGCAGTTACCTATTCGCTGTAACACACCTTTCCGACTTCTTTATAACCAAAGACTGCCCTCAAGATACCTTCTCTGCAAACTGGATTTGAAAATAATTGGTAATTCCCAGCAAGGGAAGGAAGTAGTGCACTCGTGCCCTTACTTGCCAAGCAGTTTGGAGACTTAGGAATTTGCCTTACTGTGAACACCATGCCACTTCCTCTAATTAGCAGCACAAGTTTGACTGTAGCTGATCAAGCTTCCTCTATCTCAGGTTTGACGGCAGTAGGTTGCAAGGCCTGCTTTTTATTGAACAAGGTCAGTCAGCAGCAGGAGTCCAAGGGCTGGGGATGGAGTTACCTGTATTTGTCCCACCCCTGACACTTTGCTGTAAATTCAGGCTGTTTCTTTGAAATACAAAATGCTCATCCTACCTGTACTCCTCCTTACCAGCATGTGTTGAGGTCCATGTTGGGAAATTCCTCAGTGTCACACCAAACTTCAGTTCCTTCCTCACTAAGAGCTTCTGTTTGAAGAAGGTAGTTGTGACCTCTTCTCAACCACAAACATTTCTTAAGCCCCTTCCTAGTGCTTGGTAAAACTTAGTATATGATCTGGTCTGCACAAGGCGACTGGAGATGCATTCGTTTTGTCTTCAGTGAACAACTGTATTCACTTTTGTATTCTCAGAGAACACAAAACAGGATGTAGTGGTTGCCAGCCAGGCTGTGTTACTCCTAAGAACTAAGTTAATGATCCGAGAGTCTTCTTTCAGTCTGAGCCAGTGCTATGACACACTCTTACTACACCTTGGGGCTAAAAGCTGTAAGCAGTGAGGCTGTATTGGAAACGGGAAGGGAAAGGGACAAGCAGCAGCAGGATTTCTGCCAACTGAACAGACACTAGCCCTGAGGAGTACTTAGGGGGTTTGGTTTTGTCTGAAGGGAGGATGGTCTAGAACAGGACAGGTGCCATGCAGAAGTTTCTTTTCTGTGTTCTTTGCCTCAGACTCTGGTACTACAAATGCTAGGTGGGAGCATCAGCTTCCCAGTACCAAAGTTGCATTAAATCTGAATGCTCAGGGCCTTCCTTTGTCAGTGGCATTATTAACAGAAACAAACCTGCTGCTTTCTATCAGGGGCCTGATCCTGCAGTCATGAGGGAAACACGAGCTCTGCTCAAAGGTTTCTTTTGCCGGAAATCACAGCATTGAGCCCCTGCTGTTTACATCTGAACTACTCAAGGTGGGTGGGGGAACTAGAGAAGCCGGTCAAGTTCTCACACCCTAGTGCAATGAGATTATTTATTATCTTAACTACTTAAGCAGCCTTTTAAGAGAATAGTTATACTTGCAGCCCTGTTTTTTCTCTCCTCCTTCATAATGCCTTTTAGCCAGTCACTAACAGGAACTGCCTAATATGAGTGACTGAAGAAGCACAAGTAATGGCTTTCAGTTCAAAACTTAAGTTTCATTCTTTCTGATGTTAATTCCTGATCCTGGTCAACCATACGTGTAAATCTTGCCCATGGGCAGTGCTCACTTAATTTTATGAGTGTCAAATGCCTAATGCAGGAGGCTGGTGTTTGGAACCTAAGACAGAGTATTCTGAATGTCTATTTTAGTAATTAAAGCATTTTTAACAATATTCAAGATGTTGTGGTGCAGTTTTCTTTCCTAGATATTATTGTTGGTTTGCATCTCTTTTTCCATGCAGCCCTTAAAACTGTTCCACAAGACACAGCATTACTAAGTAAAGCACCAAGAGAAGAGCAGGGAAAAGGGTGAGAGACAGACAGATTAAAGCTTAAAAATATATCTGCCACCATGAGTTGTCTCCCTCTGCTGGAAACTACCCCTCCTTTCTGAGTCCAGGCAGCACTAAGAACTCAGGAGTGATGTTGCAGCTCTAGAAATCAAGTCAGAGCAAACTGAAAGTAATTAAGCAGTAAAAATTGTAGCTGGCAAAATTCAGCACTGTATTTGCAACTGTTTCCACCTCAGTCTTCAATCCAAGAGGCCCAAATTGAAAGCACTTTGTACAGATTGTTCTGTGGCTGAAGACATGTAGTACTACAGGAAGAGACCCTAAATCCTCTTGAGGAGAGCAGATGAGACAACTTTTGCATAAAATCATGGATGACAGCTCAATCCCTTAGTTTTATTGTTAAATTAGAATAACACAATTTAAAGATTTAAGTCAGTCATGGTCCTTATAAGGGCAACATGTTCATGGGCAAGCTGCTGTCCCAAACCGACAGCACATCACTTGCTGGCGATAGCCATGATTTGCTCCTAAAAGAGGAGAAGAAAAAAATAAGTAATTTGTAAACTAGTAAGAAACAGACATTCTAGGCAGCAGTTACAGTCTCTCTCCCTTTTACATATATGGGAAACAGTTTTTTATCAGCCTTTCTAGCCAACTGCAAAGCACTCTCCCTGTATGCTACCAAATTAAGGAAGTTGCAGCATTCCTTCCGAAGCAGCAGAACACAGAGGTGTTACCAAGAGGTTCTGAGCTCAGGGAAGAGGTCTTCATTTGGTTTTCTGCTTTAAACAGAGAAACAAAAAAACCTCCTGAGCACTGAAGCAGCAGCAGCAGCAGCATAGCCTCTTTTCAGTGCAACTACTAAAGACACCTTAACAGTGGCAACTACTACACCTTAGGAATTTGCTGCTCTTAAGACACTGTCACAGTTGAACTGTGACCATAATAAAGGAAACAGGCCACCTGTGTTTAATAGAAAGAAGGTGACTTGATTTGTGGAATAAAACATTCAAACCCAGAAATGAGGGTTTGAACCTCATGAAAATCCAGTGAAGGAAATCGGAACTTAGGCAGACAGGCTGCAAATAGAGGGTCTGTGTTTAAGACTGAACCTCGTCACCACTGCCTTCCTCAGGTAATTTCCATTAGAGAGACCTGCACTTCTGCCATAAGGGAACAATTTCACAAGGCACAAAACAGCACAGAAACAGGTAACTCGTTTGAGCTGCACACCACATCTGTCAAGTGACCTGATGTCATCGTCTTAGTGAAGATGAGCCTTTATAGAGTTTCATAGGGCATTTCTGGAATGCAGCTCAAGTTCCACATTTTCATGCCATAGCAAAATAAAGCCGAAGACTACTAATGACTTCTAACCCCTAACTACTGATACAGAGTATAGACACTTAGATCCTTATATTCTCTTGTGCTGCAGGAGAAAACAGTTGTGACTGAGCCCTCGGTTATTTAGGAACTCCTCTGGCTCAATCGGGACACAAAACCTTGGTTTGAATGTGGTGCATTTTCCAACCAAAAATGTTTCATTTAAAAGAAAAACTAAACAAAACTGGGAAAAAAAACCCCAGACTTTACAGCCTGTGTGTGTTTCATGAATATTCTGGACTCTTCCTACAGCCTTCACAAAGTAAGGTTCTTACTTTGACAGGAGGCAGGGCATTTGTTGCTTGCAATCCCCATGTCCTCAGCAACACCAAGGGAGCCAGCTTCGTGGAGTAAAGCCTCTTTAGCACATCAATAGCAGCTATCAAGGAGACATTGTGCCTCTGACGCTCTGTCTCAAACTTTAAGAGATGTTTTAAGGAGCCTGGAAGAGATAATTGAATGCTCCTATTAAAACAATTGTGCATCTTATCTACATAGTAGTATCCACTGACAACTGAAAACACAGAGCAGAGAAACAGTCCATCTTAATAAAGGCCTCCTTCCTTCATTGCCACCTTTTGCTACCATCCTGCAGAACTTTTTTTTTTCAAAGCACCTTTGAGATTTGTGGGACTCTTTAACTGCTCCACAGCCAATGGACGTCAGAACAGTTTTGCTTCAAAAATGCTTGTGCCTTTCAAACACAGGACAGCAGCATGCTTAACCTGCAGTAGAGGTAATGCTTGTCCTGGAGTTAGCAGCAAAGGCCTGTAAGACCAATCATCTCAAAGCCCCGTCACTGTCTTGGATCCTTACCCAGGTCATTCCCATTGAAGGCTGCTGCACTGAGGTGATGAGCTAAACACGCAACATCACCGAAGCCCAGGTTTACACCTTGTCCCGCAAGTGGGTGGACTCTGTGCGCTGCATCCCTGGAGCAAGAGAAGACAGAAATTTATATCCCTTCTTGAAGAAAGGCATAACGACTGACACACTCCGGAAGGGTCAGCACAGCACTCCTCACCTCCTCGCAAAGAACACCTCACAGCAGCACACACAGTTTATCCAATACCTCTCTGCACACTATGCTGAACTACCTGACTGCCTCTCCAGTTGTAAGAAGCAAGACAAAGAAGGAGAGATAACAAAAGGCAGTTCTGAAAGGAAAAATTATAAAGAGGTGACTAGCCAAAGTCCTCTCTCAGACCATGTGTGGAACAAGCCTTGCTGTTGTAAGCACAACAGGAGGTGTATCACCAGCACATTTCACAGAGTAGAGAGACATCATGAATACAAAGGAGAAGTGGGATATCATTGAACAGAAACAAAATTAAGGTTCTTTTAAGAGCAGACTTACTTATAAAGGACAAAGCCAGGCATATTGATAAGGGAGTCTTAGCAAAATGAAATGAGGTTTGGGTATGAAACATAGTATCATTTAACAAGCTATATAGCACAGAGAGCTCCCAAGCACAGAGTGGGTCACAAATTGGGAAGATTAAAAGTATCCAAAGTATAATACAGCATCCCAGAACTATTGTAAGCTACCAGTGTATTGCAGCTGTGGCGGAGAAAAAGTACATGCAACCTCAGAATGCAAAAGATGAGATATCTTCCTATTTCTATAGGCCACTGTACAAAAGCCTATGACAATCCATCCAGAATAATTTGTAATTTTTGTCATTTGTGTTCAAGAAAGGTAAGTTTAAAACTCAAACTGGTACACAGAATGCCTGCTGCAATGTTTGGGGAAGTACAGGGTCAGCATGAGATACTAGGTTGTTTTACTGGACTACTCAAACCAGGAAAGGGAAATAATTATCTTGCAATTTACATCCAAAGCATACACAGTGGACAGATTGCTAGTCATACAAAAGGACTTTGATGGCACAAGAGCACATGGTACAAACTGGGCCTCAATAACATCAAACTGAAACTATAGATTATTTCTAACTATCTATCTAATTTGTTGATGCTGCACTTGCGTCATTTCTAACTACACACCACTCACTCACACGAGGGCTGCCACTCCGGACCTTACCCAATAAGGGCCACGCGGTGCCGGACATACTCTGTCGCATGCCCCATTCCAAGAGGGAACATGGCTCGGCTCTCTGGATCCACTTTAGCAACACTTGGGGGTAGCTGACGGACTGCACTCCCTGAGGGCCTCAAGAGTGAAAGAGCAGACCGAAACATGGCCCCAGCAGTGTCAATGAAGTCAGAGTGGTTTACATTGCTCCACTGAAAAAAACCCAAACCTTTAGATGTTAACCCAAACCAGACATAAAAGAATCCAGTTGAAAAAATCTGGATGAGCTCCAAAGACTGAATTTTAACATCTTGGACAAAACTACACAGTAGAAGAAACTACCTTAATTATTTTAGGACACAGAGGTTTCCAACCAGGATGAGCTTACCTTTCCACCTTTTGGAAATTTAGTTCAACTTCTTCTAACTAACCTAATTCAATCCCAGGGGGTCATCCCTTCTTTGCTAAGTGCCTTTCAGTATCATGTTCACCAGAAAGAATTTAAGAATCCACCTCTCCCATGGAGAAGTCGGAGGACTTGGGGGTGGTGGTTGATGAGAAACTCGACATGAGCAGGCAGTGTGCGCTTGCAGCCCAGAAAGCCAACCATATCCTGGGCTGTATCAAAAGAAGCATGACCAGCAGGTCAAAGGAGGTGATCCTGCCTCTCTACTCTGCTCTCAAGAGACCTCACTTGGAGTATTGGGTACAGTTCTGGTGTCCTCAACATAAAAAGGACATGGAGCTGCTGGAGCAAGTCCAGAGGAGGGCCACGAGGATGATAAGAGGACTGGAGCACCTCCCGTATGAAGACAGGCTGAGAAAGTTGGGGCTGTTCAGCCTGGAAAAGAGAAGGCTGCGTGGAGACCTTATAGCAGCCTTCCAGTATCTGAAGGGGGCCTACAAGGATGCTGGGGAGGGACTCTTCATTAGGGACTGTAGTGGTAGGACAACGGGTAATGGGTTTAAACTTAAACAGGGGAAGTTTAGGTTGGATATAAGGAAGAAGTTCTTCACAGTGAGGGTGGTGAGGCACTGGAATAGGTTGCCCAAGGAAGCTGTGAATGCTCCAACCCTGGAGGTGTTCAAGGCCAGGCTGGACAGAGCCTTGGGCAACATAGTTTAGTGTGGTGTCCCTGCTCATGGCAGGGGGGGGGGGGGCAGATGAGCCAAGGTTCTTTCCAACCCTAACTATTCTGTGATTCTATGATTCTATTCTATTGCTATCCCTTAAGCTATAGGGTTCCATTAGATTTCTTGTGATTACCACAAAGCCTCACACCTGCCACAAAGCTGATACTCACAAAGGCAGAGTTGATGCTATCCACAAAACTTTCCTCATCCATAGTGAGAAGTTCCGATGCGTGTTCATGAGATGTAGACCAGACCAGAGAGCTGGCAGTGTCAGACAGCTAGTTTAAAAGAATGTCAAGAGTAAGTATCAAAAGAAGCAAAAATAAATGATCAGTGCAAAGATTTCCGCACTGCCCTGCCCCACACCAGTCCCCCTGCATATACTCTTCCAGTCCAACTTGCTGCAAGTAGGTAATACCAAGGATAAACTGACAGGGCAGGAAGTTAAAAAAAAAAAAGCTGTAACTGAAAAGTAAAGGGTAGGGGGACAAATTCTTAAGAGACAGCGACAACACAGAAAGGCAGAGACAGAAATAAAATTATTGGAAAAGAACAGACTAAAAATGGAGACCAGAAGTCATCTTACCGGAAGAAGCGCAATTGGCCCTGTGGGAAGGAACCTCTGCCACGCTACGTTATTGTTTGTGGCCTGCAAAAACAAGTGGACAGTTATGAATTAGAGACCTGCATCACCTGCTTAAGCTGTTCACCTGCTAATGGAAGAGTCAATTAGCAGAATTTCACCTCAGACAAATGAAGAGTTGCCACCACTGCTGACTGGTCATACTGATGCTCAATGTTCTTAATTTCGGTTTCCTTCCGGACTACAGAGTTATGACCATCCGCACCGATCTACAAAACAAAGAGATAAAAAGCAACCTCTTCAGCAACTCCTAAGAAAGCCAATATTCCAGTCTATACACCTCGCCTGCACAAAGACATTTTTTGTTTATTCATAAAAAAAGGTTGCCCAAAAGCCAGAAGAGGTGGCCCCTTCTGCTCTTGTCCAATTCAGCACAGCCTTCTTGTGTCAGGCACCGTGCCCCATAGCATCTCTGACAGCGTTAGCCACTCACCTCACTCAAGCCCTCCACGTGGGTGGAGCGGCACACACGGAATCAGAACCAAATCCAGTGGAAAGGACTTGGGAGAGAGATGACGCCTGATCAACAGAAATAAAAAGCTTAGTTACCAGCAGTTTGGTCTGAAGTCTGCGTCCATCAGCTAACTCAATTTGGACCCAAGGGCTTGTGCCACAGCTGTGAGAGGGGAGGGGCCACGTATACCCCACTGCTTTGCTCCTGTAGAAAACCTCCACCCGGTCTGATGGGAACACAAAGTACCATGGTCACAGCATGATACAGGCACGAAAAAAGGAAACATCACTACAACAGTAAAGGCCACGCGTGTCTTACTGGCACCATAAGACCTGACCCTACAATTCTCATGGCACCCTGAAAGATCAGACCTGGCCAACCCTTTGTTACCTCAAGGCCCGCTCTGGATAGAAAGCTATAGATCTTTTCATTAAATCTATTTTTGGAGAAACTGTGTTCTGGAGAACTATGTATGAAACTCCTTTTGTGCTGTGTAGCCTTTGGAATACAGATTTCTCCCTCCCCCCTTATTTCAATAAACTGCCTATGTCTCAGAGCTGTCAGAGCTACTTGTTAGATTAATTTCTCCCTCCCATAACTTCGCACACACAACAGAAGGGAAGTAACCGAAAGCTCTCTGCAGGGAATAAAATATTAAAGAAGTTGACCAGTACCTGCTACTGCATCTAATTGTTTTGTGAGAGCAGACATAATGACATCATTCTCCACTATGTAACCCATGTCATCTAAGTCATCTTTCTCAAAAGCGATCATGGCTTCTGAACAAGCATCCCACACCTATGAATTAAAAACACATTACATGAAGCAACACGACGAAGGAGTGCTGTTCCTTTCAGGGACTATGAACGTATCCATCTTAACAGGAAAGGAATGTGGCAATCTAGAAATACAAAACTAGAGGAAACATCTTGGATTACTGTCCTTCATTCCCAGCAACTAAAGTGCATCACGGAATTCCTTTCATGCAATAATCTAGCTTCATCTCAAAAACTAATTGCAAATAAAGCTTTTTAGCCCTACTTCCCTTCCACATAATTAGCACATAAAGCTCCCCCACCACCTTGCTGTGGGTTACCCAGCAGGCAGCTCAGCCTCATGCAGCGGCTCACTTGCTCCCTCACAGTGGGATGGGGAAAAGAATTGGAAAAGTCAGGAAACTTATGGGTTAAGATAAAGACGATTTAATAGGTAAAGCAAAAGCTGTATGTGAAAGCAAAGCAAAACAAGGAATTCATTCACTACTTCCCATCAACAGGCAGGTGCTCAGCCATCTCCAGGAAAGAAGAGCTCCATCACACACAACAGCTACTTTGGAGGACAAATGCCATCACTTCAAATGTGTGTGTGTCCCCTTTCTTCCTGTCCCCAGCTTTTATTGCTGAGCATGACGCCATGTGGTGCAGGGTATCCCTCTGGTCAGTTGGGGTCAGCTGTCCCTTCTGTGCCCCCTCCCAACTTCTTGTGCACCCCCAGCCTGCTCACTGGTGGGGTGGTGCAAGAGGCAGAAAAGGCCTCGACTGTGTAAGCACTGCTCAGCAATTGCCTGTGTTATCAGCAGTTTTCATCACAAACCAAAACAGCACCATACAAGCTGATATGAAGAAAATTAACTCTATCCCAGCCAAAGCCAATACACATCTTTACTTTTATTTCCTGGCAAGTATCCCTGCCTCAATATCTACAGCTTCCATTAAGAATAAACATTTCATCCTGTAACATCAAGATTCTGAGGATGGGAACTCACAATTAGACTGCTACCCCCAAAAACGTAACAGGAAGCATCACAAGCATAACCTGCCCTTTGCCAAAGTAAAAAAGTACTTCTGAGAGTCACAGTAGACAGACATACAGTATATTTGCAGCCCTAAGTAAGGCACCTGCATTCGCTGGAACGGTTTGAGTCTCAGGCTGCAGACATGATCCCAGGCACCAAAACCTGAAAAAGGACACAAATGCATGGAGATACATGTTCACATCTGACACTGAGACCCAAACAAAACTTTTCCCTCCCTGTCTATCAATGTCCAGACTCTGCTTGCACCATCCCTAGACAGAGCCAGGTCTGCCTCAACACCTTCACAGCTCCAGCATCACGTTATTTTACTGTTAACGCAGGCCAGTAGAAAAGAAACCAGTGTTTTCCACGGACACTGTGACTTAACAGTCAAGTCTTACTTCCCATCACTGAGTAATAAAACAGACACAGAAACGCAGGGCCATCATTGTTCAACACATTTCTTTCTCCATAAGGAATCAAGGCTCAAATCTTTCTCTAAAATGAAAATTAATCAGAAGTGAGTTACCAGACTACAGAGCACTAAGTATGTGCTTCTTTTGTGAACACAGCATTCCAGATGCTGTAGAGAGCACCTGACAACATCCTGCTGGGCTAATGTCACAAATATTTATATAACAGATCAGACCAAGACAACAGAAAACAGATCCCTGTTATCAATTTATTTTAGTGAATCACCACAACTCAGCATACAGAATACTAAAAGATAAAGGCACATAATTCTGTTGAGTTTAGGATGAAGGCAGCACATGCTCAAAGGGGTTTTGTCAAAATCAAATAGAAAGCAGCTCAAACGTACTGTTAAAAGCACAAACAGCAGCCATCATACTTACTGCTTAGAAGTGTTGCTGATCCTGGGGAGACAGAACTGACCCTGTTACTGTAGGTGTCTGGCACATGGTTGTATTCTTTCCTAGGACCAGCCTCCAGCAAAGCAATCTTCTTATCATGGAAGTGGATACTGTGCCCTACAATAAGCAAATATATGCTTTGTTAGAACACTCCTGCCAAAAAATCTCATTCCTTATTTCTGTATCAGTAACACCTATACATTTTTGGAATAAGATAAGAGTAGTTGCAAAACTTACTAAAGAAATGCATTTATGATACAGGTTTTGACCAGGCAAGTAAACTTCTGTATTTTAAAACTTCCTGACTACAATCCTGTCACTGAGATGGACAACCCTTGTGTAGTTAAGGCAAGGATTAAAGGTTTTCTTTTTGTACAAAGTTCACATTTTTGTACAAATTTATGCCTAGCTTGTTATGCAAGTTCATTATCGAAGTATTAATGAGCAAAGTCTGCAATGTTTACTCCATACTCAGAACGCATTTTTCAGATCTTAAACATAAATTCACCACTTAGAACAAAATAAAACTTCTGTACTCCCTAGCAACTACGCTAATGTTTTCTTTACCCTTACATGCTGACAGTGCGTTAGCACTGGCAGTTTAGGCTTTAACTTTCAGTTAAAGAGGACTGAAAAAGAATAAAGAGATGACTCAAGTAAAGAGTAAATCACACCAGCTGAGTTAGCCATTCTTGTTGCATCTGACTGCTATGGCTACAGAATGGTGTCCTTAGAACATGCAGAGTTTGCTGCTACTGCAGCAGGGAGTATCCTGAATGTTTTCTAGATTATGCATAGCACAACCTCATCTTTTGAAGGGTCTCAAACCTGCACATTAGCCTTAGGTATCACTGCTGGGGGGGGGGGAATCCTTATGCTGTTGCACTTCCACTATGGTCAACAACGCAAGCACAATAGTAAGTTTGCAAGGTAAACCCTTACACTTGCAAAGCGCTTAGTGCTCAGGACCTTTGCTCTCTCTCTTCTTTGCACTCTTTTCTTTAGGTTTCTGTCACTATTACACCTTCTGAAACAATGCTGCAAATTAAGAACATGCCATGACTCTCAGGATCTCTAGTGATACAGACCAAGCACAAATCCATTGAATGTGGTATTACAGTGTTCAAATTACAGGGTTAGAGAATGAAACTTAGGATCAGGAAAGCATTTTCAACAATGGCTGAAATTACCTATTGGCAATTTAAGGGTGACTGTGTTTGACAGAAACACAAGCAGTCTATAGAATTCAAAGTAATGGCTGCATTAACATATACACATACACACACACAGGTATAAATAGGACACGGCTCATCACAACGATCAGCTAACCAAACAGCTTCAAGTCAGCTCTAGAGTGCTGTCACAAGAAGATGCAGGAATAAGGAAACCCTACAAAAGGATCTTGGACATTAAGATCCTAAGTGATAACTACATGGTTATCTCACACTATCACCAACACAGATTAATAATTAAAGTCGACTTATAAAAGCAGCCGATACCCCACACGGTGAACCGTGAGGGTTCTGGGAAAGCCCCGGTTTGAAGTTTCGGACACAAAACCCGAGACTCGCTGGACTCGCACAACAAGGTGCAGGACACCCAAACGCCTCCCTGACCTCCCATCACTGGTGCAGGGGCGGGAGGAAGACACCACCGCCGGCTGTGCGGTCGCAACTG